CCCCCCCCCCCGACATCAGATAAGGCAGGGACTTTAGGTCATTCTGTTGGACCGTTTTTTTTTTGTCTCCTTCAATGTACAATGTACACTTTTTACCGTTTTTCTAACCCTCCTCCTGCAATCAGGACAGGAGCGTCCGTCATCAAAAAAACTTCCATTAAAAAAAAGACTGAGCACCAACAGCTGATTTGAAGTGTGCTACATTTACATATGCAGCAAGTTGCAGCTTGTAATTTTGTTCTTATGAGGATGCATTATTCAGTGTGGAGCGACTAAACCGTACTGCGCGACAATGCCATGAACACAAGGAGCGGTGTGACGCTCGAGAGGACGGGATGTTCCTCAGACAGAGCGCCAGCCTGCTTGAATGTTGCATCAAAGCAAGATTCTTCACTTTCCTACACAGATCCTGGCGGTTTGGCATCTTTATCTTTACTTGTTGCGTTCTTGAATCAAACAGCAAGAGCTACTATCAGCTAGAACCAAAGAGAACAAGAGCAAGTGGTTTATTTGATAATGCTACAATAATTAATGCAGAGTTTTATCACCACCATCACACATCTGATGCCACTGTAAATTCTCAGAAAGTTGAAATGAAAATGAATGAATTGTCAAGCTGGAATTTTAATATCTTGATTTTAAGCAAAGCACATCCCATTTAACTTGTGCATCAGATAGTCAGGGAGAAAAGGTTATTTACTGTATTACTGCTTAAATATATGTTTGATATCATTATATCCATCGAAGCAGTCATCTACATAATCTTTAAAGGACTGGGAGAACCATAATTCTTGCCAAATGTGCAAGATTGGTCATGTATAGCTTGATATTGAGGAAAGCTGACAGGATTATGTCTACTATATTCTCTTCTCATGACTGGTTTTGGCCCGCGGCCGGGGCGAAATATATTCCATTGATTAGTGAGTTATTTTGGTAACACTTGTCGACAGTGTTTAATGATTTTCCACCACCTCAGCTTGTGTTTTATAGCAAAGAGATTTAAGTGTTCATTAAATGGTTTAGTAGACGGAAAAATGGGTCACACTGGTTAATACAGGTTTCAGAAGTCGAGGGTCAAATGATATTGTGACGTGTGACTGTGAGCTGGACGTTGATCATAAAAAAATTTATTTCTGCCAGAAAAGAGAGGCTCGAGAAGAAGATTATGTGCTGTGAACAGGCTGAATGTGGCTCATCTTAGGCATCAGTTCGTGAGGTGAGGTCTCTTGTGAATAGAATCCAATTTTCATCAAGTTTTCAACAATGCACTTGCATTTGAGAGGTCACCTCTCGTCCTTTATTCCATTCTCCTTTATGTAATTTTTTTTGCTCACACTCTTGTTTATTTCTTTTTCTTCTCTTTTCTGTCGGTAAGGAAATGGGAGGATATTATTGTGTCATTTTATTTAGAATTCAGTAGACGATTTCAAGTTGTATTTATTATTACTTCTATTCTCTTCCTTTCATGTTGAAACTTGGGCTGTTTCAGTGCTTTCAACAACATCGCTTTTTATGTTGTTGTTGTTTTTTTAAGAAAAAAAAGTCACATTATAGCCCAATACCTCACAAATCCTGCAAACCTGTACACAAATAATAGATTATAAAAACAAGATATACCTCATTTATTTCATTTCTATTATTTTTATTGTGAAGCCACTTGAAAATGTTTTTTTCAACAAATCACTGGATTTTTTTTCTATTGTGTATTGTTTTACCAAAGAAGGGAATATATAATGAACACACATCTACCTCATTTGTTATAGACTGTGCCAACAACATAATCACAGCAGCCAGTTTTTAATCATAGCCTTTCTGGTCCAAATTCACTTTTGCCTGCGTGATTTGTGCTGCAGAACCAGAGGCTGGACCACACAGGGCTTGACACGGCGTCATTTCCTTTGCTTGTTCATTTTTGTGAGTGGCATTGTTTTGTTTTTTTATGCGCGGGGGAAAATAAAATACCAGAAGGATACTATTTTAGGAATACAGCTGTTCAGATTGATTCAATATTGATCTGATCCAGGTTCTTCATTACAGTATCAGTAGATGTTTGAATCAGATCTAAAAGACATCTAATGAAAGATATCTTACGTTACACTGCAACCTTTGGCGTTTAGTTTAATGAATTGTTTTAGCTTTACGGTTTGCAGCAGTTCCATTGATGTCAGATGTCATTTCTGTTCACAACATACTGTGGCTTTCAGAAAATATGTAACCTACTCTAAATCAAAACTAACTAAAAGAAAATCCATTGTTTTGTTTTAAACTCTCTTTAATGGGATTTGAATGTGGAGACGTGCTCAGAACGGGACTTATTTTTTAAAATACCAAAGATGTGACAGTATTGTTGGGTTTATAATTTCAACCCGATACTGTCATTCTTAACTTTTAATCTCAAGCAGCAGAAAAATGTTTTCATTTGATCCTGCGGCAAAACTTGATTTTAAGCACTTGGATCAAAATGTTATCCAAGAAAAAAAAAAAAAAAGGCCAAGCTGTATATTCAGTTAGTCTCAGTGCACGGATGGCAACCTAAGAATGTAATAACAGTTTCCAGAGTTTTAGCACAACTAACAATTAATGAAAAAAGTAAACCTGACCGTCATTTTGTTGTTGTATAGGAGCAAGGATTAATGGAAATATATAGTCTATATTTATGTGGAATTACAGAGGGCACAATCAATGCACAATTGTCTGATTCCTGTTGTTCAGTGTAATTTACCTCTTGATCAGCGTATGAAGAGACTTTGCTCTTATTTTTTTCACAGCAGTGGCACAGTCTGTTCTCTCTTCTGCTCATGTCACTAGACTGCAGAGATTTCTAGAGCAAATCCTGGACGAACTCTGGAGTGCTTGTTGACTGTAAAGCAAAAAAACACGAATCAGAGTGATTCCATAACCAAGGTTTTTACGAAATCACATTCACAGGCTTAGTGCTGATGACAATGTTAGAACATTTGTTCATAAAAAGACTATCATTTTAATAATGGTTAAGGAAACAAAAAAAAGATTCACTCATGTGCTTAAAGAATAACATGTTGTTTACCTTGTTTAGCTATGTCAACGATGCTATGCTGGTAGATTTTAGATCCTAGTATACGTTGTGTATGAAGCTTATTTTCCTTTTATTCACTTTGGATAAATCCAGTGCATTATGGGAAAGCTGGATTGTGGTGCTCAGGGGTTAAAAAAAGAAGAAGAAAAAACTGGTGAAAGATTTTTTGTTTGTTTGTTTTGCCATTGACTTGTAGCATAATTAGAAATAAAAGTACTGCTTTCCACTTTAATGTCCAGGTGAGTTTTCTTTTGGTTTTAAATGTTTGTTAAACTGCTGTAACAAAAGTATCATTAGAAAAAAAAAAGTATGCTGATTTAATGTGTAATATTGCTTATGAAAGGTTTTGGAGAGAAAGAAATGGCCAAACATAAAATACAGGAGGAACCACTGACTGCAGCATAAACTATTTTACATCTACACTAACAGATGTTTGGGGTGAGTAAGATTTTTATTTATTTTTTTATGTTTTCAAAAAAATTCTCTTATACTCACCAAGGCTTTATTTATTTAATCAAAAATGATTCTGTAATAAAATATTAATATTTTGAAATATTATTACAATGTTTACTATTTTACTATTGTTTACTATTTTAATATTTGTGACCCTGGACCGCAAAACCAGTCTTAAGTGTCAATTTTTCAAAGTTGAGATTTATACATCATCTGAATAAATAATCTTTCCATTGATGTATGGTTTGTTAGGATAGGACTATATTTGGTCGAGATACAACTATTAGAAAATCTGGAATCTGAGGGTGCAAAAAAATCTAAATATTGAGAAAATCGTCCTTTAAATTTGTCCAAATTAAGTGCTTAGCAATGCATATTATTAATCAAAAATTAAGTTTTGATATATTTATGGTAGGAAATTTACAAAATATCTTCATGGAACATGATCTTTACTTAAAGGGGTCATATGATGCTTTTTTAAAGATCATTATTTTGTGTATTTGGTGTAACAGAATATGTTGACATGCTTTAATGTTCAAAAAACACATTATTTTTCAAATACTGTACATTATTGTAGGTCTCTCTCTCTCTCTCTCTCTCACACACACACACGATGCGCAAAACTCCGCATTTGAACAGTCAATAGCAAATACTTAAACTAATAACAAAACATACTTACAGTCGCTGTTTCAGAAGCGCCAGATTGTCAGAAACATTTCTGATTATTATCAATGCTGAAAGCAGTAGCATTACTTAATAGTTTTGTGGAAACTGATACTTTTATTTAAAAAAAAAAAAAAAGCATTTATTTGAAATAGAAAACTTCCGTCTTAACTTTACGCCTTGCTCAATTGAATACAGTACATCTGTGTTGTGCAAATGTTTGAATGGTGATATGTTTTTCAGTAGTTTGTGTATTTCCTGGGAATCAAACCCATGACCCTGGTGTTGCTAGCTCTACACACTACAAGTTGAGCTACAGGAACCAAGTTTCTAGACAATAAATTCTCTCTAAATCTGTTTGTATACACCAAGCGAATTATTTTACAGGAATCCAACAAAATTAACACTTTAATCCAGAGTTGAGCCTTACAAAAATTAAAGATTGGAATCCCGATGATAGGTCACTTAA